TTGGGGGAGGTAGGGAGGTAGGGAGGAGTACAGGTGTAACTATGATAATGATAACAATATACGTCATGATTTATATAAAACAGAGGCGAACCAAAAATCTACGTCAAGGGAAATAACCAATAGATTGGTGTCAGGACAGCAATTTTTAAAAATTGTCTACCTTTAATATTTATACGTTTGCTTTCGTAATATAAAACGACACATGTACACACCACACACACGCATAAACACAAACAAATGTAAACTATATCTTTAAGCATTATGAATACATTATATATGTGTATTACTAGTATTTAAATATAATATCTTTCTGCAATATGTATCCTTGTGTGAGTAATGTGTTGAGTGTGTGAGTGTGTGTATTTGAGTGTTTTTGTTGGGGGTGGGGATACATAATCATAACGTATAAAATAACATATCTGACAGAACACACCTAAAGCACAACACAACACACCTGACACACGACACATCCAACACAACACAACACACCTGACACACAACACAGCACATCCAACACAACACAACACACCAGACACACAACGCATCCAACACAACACAACACAACACAACACAACACAACACACCTGACACACAACACAACACACCTGACACACAACATATCCAGGACAACACAACACAACACACCTTACACGCACCACACCATAACACAACACACCTGACACACAACACAACACATCCAACACAACATAACACACCTGATACACAACACATCCAACACAACACAACACAACAAACCCGACACACCCCAAAACACAACACACCACAACACACTTGACACAAAACACAACACAAAACATCCAACACAACACAACACAACACATTCAAAACAACATAACACAACGCAACACAACACAACACAACACAACACAACACATCCAACACAAGACAACACAACACACCACACAACACACCCAACACGCAAAGCAAAAACACCTGACACAGTTGCCCGTGTTGAGACACGGGTTCCCCACACAGTTGTCCACAATGCTAGCGCAGTTGGCTCCAGTGTAGCCGTCGGGGCACTGACAAAAGTAGGATGTGCCGGTCTCCACACACGTACCTCCGTGCTGGCAGGGGAAGGAGCCGCACTGAAGGTTGCCCTTCTCCTGTGGGAGGTCGGTGATAGAGATTGAGTAGATGTTTTACGGCACTATCGACTCAATTTTGGTCATTTTAGCGCCAACAGGTTTCACCGCTACAAAATCAGACGTGTTTTCAGTAAGAGTCTTTCGGAGCTCGCAACCGCACACGGTCAAACTATTTTCATTATATTAAAAAGACGGACAGACATTTATGAAATTTTTGTAAATACATGTATGGAAAAGACTTATTTACATTTGTATATACAATATCAATTTCAGAGTATGTATTTACACACCGATAACGATAACTATATATTTTCATATTCTATTAAATAGTCCTATTTCTTTTACATAACTTAAAATCTTTCTAGGATCTACAATGTCAAAAAGGGTTTTGATATTTTTACATTTAAAATATTTCTTACTAACATCATTAAATTCGACACATTCCGTTAGGACGTGCCGAACTGTGAAATTGTGTTGCACGCCACGCAACAAGAAGTTTGGTGAGTGGGGGTGGTGGGGTTGGGAGTTGGTGGTGGAGGGAGGGGATTGGGGGTTGGGAGGAGGTGATTGGGGGTTGGGGGTGGAGGGAGGGGATTGGGGGTTGGGAGGAGGTCAGTTAGGGGTGAGTGGGGGTGGTGGAGGGAGGGGATTGGTGGTGGAAGGAGGGGATTGGGGGTTGGTGGTGGAGGAAGGGGATTGTGGGTTGGGAGGAGGTCAGTTAGGTGTTAGGGGGTGATGGGATTGGATGGTGACGGGGTTGGGGAGGGGAAGAGGAGGGAAACATTTGATTAGTCAACCAGCCAATCACCACTTACAAGAGAGGATGCATGAGGGTGGTATGTGCATGTGCGATTTGTGTGCGTGCGTGTGTCTGCGTGCGTCTGAGAGTCAGTGTGTATATAAATGATCTCACAACGTACATTTCTTTCTACTTCTCCGTTGTACTGAACTATCATCCCCTAAACGACTGACTTCTGACCCTGGCGTGAACTGGTCACTCACCGTGCAGTTCTTGCCGTAGTAGCCCTGCTCACACTCGCAGAAGTAGTCCCTGTACAGGTCGATACAGCGGCTGTGGCCAGCCAGGCACGGGTTGCTGGCGCCCTGGCAGATGTCCACACCGTCCAGACAGGTGTTTCCTTTTGGATCCGGGAGAAAGGGGTGGGGTGGGGGGGGGCAGGGAGTTGGGGGAGGAGGTGGGAAGACATGAAAATGATATCATCATCATCATCATCATCATCATCATCATCATCATCATCATCATCATCATTATCATCATCATCATCATCACAAAAATCATTATCATAATAATAACAATAATCATCATAATCATAATTATAACTCTCAAAATCATAAAGAAAATCAGGACTGTACTAATGATCACAGATAAATAAATAAATGAATGAATAAATAAACAAATTTAATTAATTAATTAAATTGTACGTGTGTTTGGCTCCCATGGACACATTATTTTTTGTTTAAAATTAAAAAGGTGGGCAGCTTCTACCTGCTTTCTGTCAGGCTAAACTGGGATGAGAGGGTTGATAACCATAATCATAGTCATAATAATCATAATCACAATACACACATTCATATATAATAATATTATAAGCACATATAAAGTCACATTCACACACTTATGTTAGGTTTACACGTTACATAGCAACATAAATTCTAACACACACACACACGCACGCACGCACGCACACACGCACGCACGCA